GGAAGGACAGAGAGAGGGAGAGACAGAATCCGAAGACAGGCTCCAGGCTCTGAGCTAGCTATAAGCACAGATCCTGACATAATCATATTTTTAAAAACAGGGTGCATGACTATATTTACACAGTCAGTTATGTCAGTCCCACCCTTTGACTAGTTGTTTATCAATTATGAAATGAGAAATAAATTAGGTTGACTATTTTGCTCAACTAAATGTGTTACTGAAAGGAACATCTGATTCACATCTTCACATTAGACACAAATGTATTTGGGCCCCAGAATTCTGCTCATGATGAACAGTACTGTAGATCCTGTAATATACATCCAGAGGCTGATTTAGTATTTGCGATTTAGTATGTAATAGCTCTACTAACACAAGGGTTAAATATTCTATTCCTTTACAGCTAGAATTCCACTGAAAACTTTATTTATTGGATATTTAATTAAATCGTAAAATTTTATTTGGGCCCATAGAAATAGTCATTTTTCACCTTGCTGATTCATATTTCTTAAGTTTCCAGTACATATTATGTACTATTTTTATAATAAGGAAAAGCACATTTTTTGGAAGGAACAAAGAAATACTATTGAAGAATCAGCGTAGAACTGGATCGAGATAGCAAAATGCACATACTGCTTTCTCCTCCCCCCACAAATCACTCAAAGTGTCAAAAGAGATACCTTTTTCAAAGAGGAGATCTAGAAACCACTAAACATTTCCATTAGCAGAACAGAAATGTTGGATGTTTCTGGAAGATAAAAAGCAAGCAAGAATGGTTTGATAAGGGTAGAGGAAAACGTCGGCCTTAAAAAAGTTACAAGAGAAAAACGTGTCAGATAAAGGCTGGTATAGAAAAAAAGGTCAGATAAAAGATAAAGGCTGGTATAGGAAAAAAACACATATCCAACACGAGAATAAAGAGGACAGTAAGGCCTCTCCAATACAGAAGCCAATGGCCAAAGTGACTGAAGAATGTTTTTCTGAACAAAGAGGGCAGGAAAGCTTCCTTCCCTCTAACACTAAACCATGGGAAGCAGCTAAATACAAGTCCGGGATAAAACCCAACAAGTGTCCTCTTGTTGACAAAAGGACCACTTGCACAGGGAGTGGGGTGGGTGCTGTCCTGGTACAGTGGTCCTGGAGAGGAAGTTAAATTGCCCTTCCTTGGGGCCTTCTACAAGAATATAGACAGGAGAATAAAAAGGGAAGTTAAGCTTCCCTGAATAGCAATCAATCAATCAATCAATCAATATTTCTTTAAGACTGTCATTACTTTGGCATTGACACCATATTTGCATGTCTTTAAAGTGAAGTGTGACAGCTAACTGCCACACTTCACCACTCACACAGGCCCACAGTGCTATCCACTAGGAGAGTTCTGGGGAGTAAACAAGTCAATATAACTGCATAGGAAATATACAGTCATTACCTATGCTCATCAATCGATCAACCAGCCAATCAACCTAGCCCCACATTAATAAATAGGAATTAACACCCAATGATCAAAATCAACTGAACAATAGTAATGTGATGATGCCAAAAGTAAGCAGATGACCCTGAAGAAAACAGTAATTCAAGGAAAAGAAGACTGCTGCCTTGGAATTGAAGGTTTAATTTAGTACCTTCAGGGTGAAAAGGGGCTACTGCAGCCAAGAAACAAGAACAGAGCACTAAAATAAAGAGGAAGACAGGGGAAAGGAGCGGCCTCAGCTAATTAACAATGTGACTGTTAATTTTTTTTAATTAACAAAAGGCAGAAGCATCAATGCCACCATGAATACATGATGTTATTATGGTAAGTTACGAATACAAAAAATGAAGTGGAAGGGACAGCCACAGATGCACACAAACCAAGCCTGGAATAACAAGAGAACATTTAAGAGGCACTGAGGCTCAATCCAAACAATGCAATAATCATCTAATGGGAGTTCGAGAAGGAGATTAAGTGAGAAAAGGAAGGGACTAAATACTGGTTTTAAATGTTAGAAGACAAAATGCAGAACCTGAAGAAAGAATGAGCTCTCATCTTGAAAGGGCTCTCTTAGCAGTGACCAGGATGAATGTTTTAAAATGGTAAAACTGGTGAAATTCCAAGGTTCCAAAATAAACATAAAATTCAAAAAGCTTCCACATTTGTATATAAAGGAACTCATTCCTCATTGGTAGAGATAGGCGACAGTGCAGGAGAGAAGGTAATGAGTGGGTAGCTCCAAAATTCTGGAAGCAAATTATCCTGAGCATGGGGTTCAGTGTGCAAAACAAGTTAAGAAAAGACAAGTGTAATCTGTATTTCTATCTTTTAAATAACTGAATTTATATCTTCACTAGGTAAATAAACTGGGTTAGATTCATATGTCTAAGATTAATGCAAAATTACCTTTTGCAACCAAATCTTCATTAAGAAAGTGAGATGGAAACTTTAGGTGATTGTTCTATTTATATAGATAAATGAAGACAAAGGAAGAAATACAGAGTAAGAGAGGATGTAGGGGTGAGGAGACAGAGAGGCACATAGAGACAGAGAAGAAAAGAGGAAGTGAAGGAGGAGGAGACACTCAGAGAAACAGACCAGGGCTGAAAAATACTTTGCGCAAGAGAAGGAGGGAGGGAGCAACTGGTATTTATGCTGTCAGGTTCTGATAGGAAATTTTAAAAAGTTTCGGTACTTTTCTAAGAAATTTCCAAGTCTATTTACTTGCAGGAGCAGGTGCTGAATTTTTTTAGGGAGAAAATCTGTGAAGATGTTTATCAGGCCTGATATAATTGTAAACATACCATACATACATACATACATATACATATAGAGAGAGAGAGAGAAAGGGGGGAGGGAGGAAAGATAAATGCTAGCTTTTTACATATTTTTGATGGAGAACAATCTGGATTGTGCACCTGGATATACAGCGCCAGGCTTTCGCTGACTTCCAGGTGCTGCAAGTCTCTGGACAGTACCGAGACCTCTACTCCCTAGAATATATGGACTTCCATTCAGCCAGTCTCCCTGTGACACACCCATTCTCTGTTCACTCTGGAACTGGGGCTTCAGCAGCAAGACTGGAAGGGAGAAGAGGAAGGTGGGCAGGAGGAAGAGCCCCATGGGGCCATTCCCTTTATTTACCACAAATATGGTCCTTTCTCTGCCTTTGCTGGAGTTAAACACCGGTTTCCTGCACCTGCGTGTTATGGAAAAGTAAAAGACCCTTTGTTTCTATTTACACTTAAAGCCCCAGTGAATAAGTGCCCGCTGCATACTTCCCTTTAGGGTGTAAGTAAAAGATGGAGGAACACTGGTTCTACGCATCTTAGGAGTCCAAAGTTTTCGGACACCTGAAGACGCACAGAGTGCATCTTGAGTACCTGCAGGATTCAGAGAAGCTGATACTCAACTACTTTGCGGTTTGCCAGGGAAGAGCAAAAATCTTAGTCCGGAGTAGTTGGAAATAGAAATAAGAAAGGATGCACGTAGGCCAAGTTCTTAGGACTCTCTGAAGACAGTCTGGGAGATAAATACAAAACGACTCAGGGAATTTAAACCAGCAGGGTAATCCTTTTCTTTGATAGGCATCTTGGCTAGGACTCACATGGCTGAAGCCATTGCCTCAAGCTGTGGGTGTGACTTTGACTCAGCTACAGGTATAGAGAATCTCACTTCTACACAGGTACAGGTTTCAACTAGGCTGAAAGTTCAAACAGCACAGAACTCAAAATGCACTGCCTCGGATATATAATTATGTACAACAGAAGGTTCTAGAACTGTACTGCTCAATATATTGGCTACCAGCCATATGTGATGATTTAGATTAAAATTAATTAAGACTAAATAAAATTAAAATTTCAGTTCCTTACACTAGCTACATACTGGATACACACTAGCTGTCCATATTGGACAGCACAGAATTAGATCATTTCCATCACTAGAAAGTTCTAGAGGACACTGTTATTCTAGGGCAATATTAGCATAAATGCAAAGGTTAACCTGGAAATGTGAGGTACCCTGGCAACTACCCCATGTTATTAATATATCTAAGAGAAGACAGGACTTACAGATAACCTAAAGTAACTCAAATTGGAGGGTGCCTTTAACCCAAATATCCTTGAAGTTTTAATTTATGTCATCGTTGATGTTATAATTAAACAGATAAGAAATGTAAATCAGAGTGATTAACTAACTTGCCCCAGGCAACTGTCTGTAACTGCAAAAAAAATATCAAGTTTCTTTTTTTCTATAGACTAATTACCCCTAAAATTTGAGAATCCTATTTGCATAGAACCTCATATAGGATCTTGCACAGAAAATGTATCCAGTAAGTATTTGTTGAATCAATAATGCAGTTATTGATTTCAGTGATGCAATGAGTGAATGAATGAATGAGTTGTAAGGCAGAGTCAGCAGCAAAACCATCCTAGCAACAGGAGAACATGACTAACATCCTCAGAAGTAAAATTTATGGCCATGAAATTGCTAAGCGTAAGCTGGAATTTCAACTGGCCATTTCTCAGAAAACATGTGATGCTCCCCTTATGGTTTTTTGAATCATTCTCTTGCCCACTTAATTAGTGTTGGCATCTTTCACTTTGTACCATTTTAATTTGAACATAAAGGCTACCCTACCCACTCTCCCACTCCAACCTCCATTTAAAACTAACCACCTGAACTTGCTTAGAATATTTTGGGCCCACTTCTCTGGGGCTCCTTTGCCTGTCACAGAATTTCCATTCAGTGCTAGATTTAAGTAAAGGTTCTCCGTATCCCATCCATAAAGATTTGCTCCATTACCAGATAAGATCGTCTTCAACTCAACAAGGAAGGAATAAATTTAGTGTTGAGGCAGACTGCTGAGGGAGAAGAAATGACCACTTAAGTTTCAAATTTGTAAAATTTGCACTCTGCCATCTGCTTTAGTTTTCTCTAAAAGAGGATGGCCAACTTTTTCTAATATTTTTTTCACGTTCTCCCCATCACCCCTAAATCAAAGCAAAACGCTTGAGCCATGTTCATTACTTACAGGAGATTCGCTGACTCCAAAGATGTCTCTGACATCCCTAACAGATTGCTTGTTCTTTTTTCTCATGGTTTGAGTGTAAGTATTATATCTCTTTTTCACTGCAGCTGCTTGGGTTCGAGTCAGCGTAGAGAGCAAGGCTTTGCCATCCTCCTCTTCGTTACCCGAGATCAGGGTTGATAAACCCACATCTTGCAACCACTCTGCTTCGAGTTCTCCTTCTGTAAAATAACATTACCAACGAAAGGTCAGAACGTTCTCCATTTAATTAGATGGCATGTATATCTACAGGCCTGTGCATATCAGTGAATAGTAAACACTATGTTAAGACCAATCCTGGACCTGAGGGCAAGTGAAATAAATCAAACAGAGAAAGACAAATGCCATACGATACCACTTCTATGTAAAATCTTTAAAAAAAAAGACACACACACACACACACACACACACACACGCTCACAGATACAGAGAACAGACTGATGGCTGCCAGAGGTGTGGGGTGAGAGGTAGGTGAAATGAGTGAAGGGAGCCAAGGGTACAGACTTCTAGTTATACAACAAATAAGTCATGGGGTGTAATGTACAGCACGGCGATAACAGCTAATAATACTGTATTACATAACTGAAAGTTGCTAAGACAGTAGATCTAAAACATTGTCATTGAAAGAAAAAAAATTCTGAACTATGGTGATGGATATAAATAAGACTTATTGTGGTCATCACTTTGCAATGTATATAGATATCGAATCATTAAGTTGTATGCCTGAAACTTACATGTTATATGTCAATTATACCTCAATTTAAAAAAAAGGCCATCCTTTTTTCCGGGGTAATCGTGGCAAAGGCCTATAGGAATGAATGAAAAGTCTGTATGCTATTTTTTTAAGTAAGTCAGATTTTAAAGTATTCTCTGGGAGATTAAGGTTAATTGGTATATTTAGTAATGTAATTTTCCTTGCCAGAGAGAGTTAATTATAAGCCATATGTGGACTTCCAATTTCAAACAATGATAAAATATGAATATTTAAACTAAAACTATAATAGAAAAAGAATGCCTTAGTGATGTAGGAAAGGGTTTTTCAATCACTCAAATGCTGGTTCAAATCCCAATGCTACCATATTCTAGGCAGATAGCTTTGGAAAGTTTTTAGATATCTCTAGGCTTCTGTCTTGTTGGCAAATGGAAGTAAGAAGATGCATTAGGTGGCTATAATGATTGTTTTATCAATTTATTCATGAGAGATGGCAAAGAATCTGGAACAGGGCATAAATTCAGTATATTCATTCTCTTACTTTCCTCCATAGTCTGAATATTAGGTAATCTTTCCTTTTTTCAGAAGTCAGTTAAAAAGCTTAAAATTCATCATAATGAGGCTTAACTGCTGTTGAAATTCAGATGTGCAGAAATAACTTAAAAAATTCAGAATAGCAACATCATATAACAGAAAATCCACTCCAGATACATTTCTGGGAACTATGCTGAACATGCATTACCCGAATGAGATTTGTTTAAAGGGCAGATCAAATTGATTTGTAAAAAGTCTGTCAAGTCATCAGTCTGAGAGTCTTGGACCCTGCTCATATTATTGTATCACATAAACAAAGCCTTCTAAATGTACTTTACAAGAATTTCTCAGTGAGGCAAATCTTTGCTATTGTGTGTGTGTGTGTGTATGCGCGCGTGAGTGCGTGCGTGCTTATTATTCATTTGTTTTATAAGCTATCCCTTTAACAGAAAAAGTAAACTTAGCAGCTCTAATCTAAAATAATAAACATTTTAAATTAGTGAGTTATGACTTGGAAATCTTCTCTTACTTAAGCCTTAGATAAGATTTTCATTTTTAAGACAAAATTTATAAATATGATTCAATATCAAAGTTTCAGAATTTGGATTTTTTTCCCCTCCAACTCTGTAAGCAGTAATGAAAGAGTGGATGGAAGGAGTTCAAGTTAATAGACAAGGGTGAGGATGATCTAAATCCTTGGACTCAGACTACAGAATCTGTAGAATATATATTTTCCAGAGGGAAGAAATGTCTTAGAGATCAATGTTACCTCTGTAACACTGTGGAATAATTGAATCACAACCTTGTGCTCATTACTCCAGTTACTGAACATATAATTTCCACACAGAATAGTCCTTTGAATTTCAGCTACATCTATTCAACCATCTACTCAACCACTACTTGACACTATCAGTCATACATCAAACTCAACATGTTCAAACCTGAACACATATTCTTCATTCCCAACTCTAGGCCTCTTTTCAGTATTCCACATTTCAGTAAGTGAAACCCACCATCCACCTAATTTAGCAAAGTAACAAACCTAGGACACGTTATTGACATCTCCCTCTTCTACACATCAAATCCAATATATCACCAACTCCTTTTTAAAAAAAAGTTTATTTATTTTTGAGAGAGAAAGCATAAACATGGGAGGGGCAGAGAGAGAGGGTGATAGAGTGGGTTCTGCTCTGACAGCAGAGAGCCAAACATGAGGCTTGAACTCACAAACCTTGACATCATGACCTGAGCCAAAGTCAGATGCTCAACCAACTGAGCTACCCAGGCATTTCTATCACTAAGTTCTTCTGATATTATTTCTTTATTATTTCTCAAAAATTCCCACTTTTATTTATGTCTTCTGCTCTGATCTTGGTCCAAACTACCATCCTCTCTCACCTGAACTACTGCAGTTGCCTCCCAGTTTTTCCTCCCATTCTTGATTTCCCCTCCAATCCATGATCCATATTTTAACTAAATTAGACCTTTCCAAATGCAAATATAAGATTTCTAAAATATCACAGTTCCTCCTTGCTCTTGGGATTAAAAATAAAACCCTTGGAGAGCCTGGATGGCTTAGTCAGTTAAGCATCCAACTCATAATCTCAGCTCCGGTCTTGATCTCAGGGTTGAGTTCAAGCCCTGCACTGAGCTTCACGCAAGAAGTGAAGCCTACCTTTAAAAAAAAAAAAAAAAAGAAAGAAAGGAAAGAGAAAGAAAGAAAGAAAAGGAAAGGAAAGGAAAGGAAAGGAAAGGAAGAAAGGAAGAAAGGAAGAAAGGAAGAAAGGAAGAAAGGAAGAAAGGAAGAAAGGAAGAAAGGAAGAAAGGAAGGAAGGAAGGAAGGAAGGAAGGAAGGAAGAAAGAAAGAAAGAAAGAAAGAAAGAAAGAAAGAAAGAAAGAAAGAAAGAAAGAAAGAAAGATCTTTCACATGGCCCACAGGAAATGAAACTACTGACCTTCTGGGCCACAGCTTGTACCATTCTCTCTTCATTCTCCCCTCTCTGGCAACACTGGTCTATGTTTGGTTCCCCAAAGGGCCATGTTATATTTTGTTACAAGGCCTTTGGACATGCCAATTCTTCTATTTGGACTCCTAAAAACTGGCCATTCAATCTCTTAGATCTCAATTTATGTATTTATTCCTCAATGAAGTCTTTTTTTCCTGAACCCTTCAATCAAAGTCGGGTCCACTGTTACCCATCCTAATCCTTCTGTGTGTCTTTTTCCTTCAAACAACTTTTCTCCCAACACACATCTAGTTATATCATTTCATTAGTTATTTTTTTTTCCTCCTAGGTTATAAGCTCCATTAGAGCGGGGAACATTTCTGCCTTTGTTTATATCTCTAACATCAACATCTTGCAATGCCTGTGAGGAGTAGGTACACATATTTGTTGAATTAATTAAACCTCAGTTGAAATATTTAATTATTCTATGTCAAAAATGATGAATACAAAACATCAACTTTCAAAAATCGATGTAGCTGGTAAAAAATTAAAAAATAGGGGCGCCTGGGTGGCTCAGTTGGTTGGGTGTCTGACTTTGGCTCAGGTCATGATCTCATGATTTGTGGGTTCAAGCCCCCTGTCAGACTCTGTGCTGACAGCTCAGAGCCTGGAGCCTGCTTCCAATTCTGAGTCTCCCTCCTCTCTGCCCCTCCCTCACTCTGTCTCTGTCTCTGTCTCTCTCTCAAAAATAAACAAACATCAAAAAGAAAATGAAAGAAAAAAATGAATGTAGCTGTCATACATACCATTCTATACTAAAAATCTACCTGGTTAGTAAACTTTATTAGAGAAAAATATCAAAACGGGAATAAAATAGAATACCTTGTAGAGACATAACAGTTCTGCATATAACAGTTATGAACTCTGAACTGAGTACATAAAATAACTATTTGAGGGTAGTGGAGAAGAACCAAGTATAGGCAGAAACTGAAAAATAATTAAATCTTGATACAAGAAAACGTACTGTGGGAGATCTGAGCCTATACAACTTTTCAACTAATGTCATCTTCCAATCCCTACACTATACCACAGGTAGAACACAAACAAATCCACAGTCTTACTTATTTGAAGAGTCAGAGGATGTAGTAGGGGATTATTACTAGGACATGTGGAAAGTGAGGGGGATATTCCTGTTATGAGGGAAACACACAGGAGAGTCTCCAAAACGCACAAACTCTGATCAAATCTTGACTACACATTAAACCAAAAAGGCATATGCAAGACTCCAGCATCCTATTGAAAACCAGCAGCTGAAAGGTCTAAAATAAATAAGCAAGGTTACAGAAGCTGCCTAGAACAGAAAAGATGGTGAGAATGAGTCCAATCCATGAAACTGCTATGAAATTAACTCCCGTTAGAGGAAGATAACGGGATACAGAGTCTCTGAAACACATCAGCAATGTTATAATATTACATTCCCAATGATGTTAAAATAGGTAGGATATAATAAAAAGGAAAACAAAAAAAAATGGACTAATTTGTCGAGAGAAAAGGTCATCAATACAGAGTGACTTTGAGAGGGCTCTGATGTTAGACAAGTACTTGAAGGAAAAGATTCTCATGAGTCAACAATGAATTCCAGAAAAGAAATAAAAAATATAAAAAATGAAACCAAAATGCAAGTCACAGAATTAAAAATTAAAACACATTAAATAAAAAATTTGCTGTAAGGGCTTAACAGTATATTAGAGACTTCAAAAGAAAGGGCTAGTAAACTTGAAGATAAAATCAGTAGAAATTACCTAATTTCTAGAGAAAAATATTTAAAATTTTCAAGACAGAGCCCAAGAGACCTATTGGGAATGGTAAGTACTGTAATATATATAGTTTGAGTTTCAGAGAAGAGGGAGAGTAGTGCAGAAAAAAAAAAAAAATTTGAAGAAATAATGTCCAAAAGTTTCCAAAACTTGTTGAAAAACCAGTTAGCTTAACTAATGCCAAGTAAGATAAATACAAAAGAAAACTGCACTTAAGCATCTTAAAGACAACCTGCTGGAAACCAAAGACAGAGAAAATTTGAAAGCAGTCAAAGGGAACATACTACACACATGGGGACAATAAATATGAAGGCACTGAGTTCTTATTAGAAGCAGAGAAGATCAGAATATACTAAGATGATGTTTAAAAAATCCTGAATGAAAATAAAAACCTGTCAACCAATAATTATATGTCTAACAAAAATATCCTTCAAGAATAAAGGTAAAATAGTCATTATCACATGAATGGAAACTAAGAAATGTATCACCAGTGAACTTGCTCTGTAAAATATGCTAAAGGAAGCTCTGTAGGGTAAAAGGAAAAGATGTCAGATGGATACTGGATATACAAAAAAGAAGTAGTGGAAGGGCACCTGGGTGGCTCAGTCGGTTAAGCATCTGACATTGGCTCATGGTTTGGGAGTTTGAGCCCTGTGTTGGGCTCTGTGCTGACAGCTCGGAGCCTGGAGCCTGCTTCAGATTGTGTGTCTCCTTCTCTCTCTGTCCCTCCCCTGCTCACGTTCTGTCTGTCTCTCCCTATCTCTCTCTCTCTCTCTCTCTCTCTCTCTGTCAAAAATAAACATTAAAAAAAATAAGTAGAGGAAATGTTAAACATTCAGGTTTGATTTCTTTAAAAGACATAGGCTACTTCCTCTTCTCTCAAAATTAAGTCTTAAAGCCTAAAGACATTAGAGCACAGCAAAGCAGTCATTTATACAGAGGAGCAGGGGTGTTGGAGCCCATGTGGGATGATCAGGGCAACCATGAAAAGGAGAGGGGAATTTGATACCATATGGAGGTGTTAATCAAATAAATACATATGTGTAAGACAGTGGATGCCAGTTTTCTCACTGCCTAAGAAGGGAATCACAAATACAGAAGGGAAGGGTAGAATTAACCTAGTTGATTCCCAGACCAAATATAGAACACTTTCAACATCAAAATAGATGATAGTAAAAGAAAATCCACTAACAAATAACCCACTAAATAAACCAGGAGCCCATTCTGATATAAAGAAATAGTTGAGAGCTTGATATAGAATGGGATATGTATCCAGTTTTAAAAAACCTTCCACAAAAAATATTTACTGATCACAAAGATGAAAGGAGTAACTTAAGGGGGAAACCTTATTAATACCACTTGAAATGATGCAAGTGGCCATCATTATCAATGGGAAAATCAAAACTGTATGTCACTTGATAGGATGTAATGAAAAGAATACATCATGATCTGCCAAAGATGCAGAGACTGAATCCAAATCATCAGGAAACACCAGACAAATCCAAACAGAGGAACATTCTATAAAATAGCCTGTAATCTTCAAAACTGTTAAGGTTATAAAATCAAAGAAAAACTGAGAAACTATTCTAGATGTAAGGAAACAAAAGAAACATGGCAATGAAGTACAAATGATTCTGAACTGGATGCTTTTGTTACAAAAGAAAATACAGGAAATATACCAACATTTAAATTTGAATTAGATAACAGTGATGTATCAAAACTAATTTCTTGGGACACCTGGGTGGCTCAGTTGGTTGAGTGACCGACTTCAGCTCAGGTCATGATTTCACGTTTCATGGCTTCAAGCCCCATGTTGGGCTCTCTGCACTGACAGCTCAAAGCCTGGAGCCTCCTTCAGATTCTGTCTCCCTCTCTCTCTCTCTGCCCCTCCTTTGTGCTCTCTCTCTCTCTCAAAAATTAATAAGGAAACATTTAAAAATAATAATTTCTTGATTTTAATAGTCATACTGTCACTATATAGAGAACGGCTGCACACACACACACAAACACACACACATAGAGCCACATCTATAATCCATACTCATCAGAGTTGGAGATTTTAACAATCCTCTCTGTAACTGACAGAATAATTACACAAAAGTGTGTGCATGTGTATATATACTTTGTAAATTAAAACATATAATACACTTATATATGTAATAGCTTAGATATATCCTATATATCTAAAGACCTAAGGTACTTGTGAGTAACAGGCAGTTGGCAAGTTACTCTCAAATGGTCAAAAGGCTTCAGACCAAAAAAAAAAACAGTTATTTAAATTGTATTTGCAGCTTTTCTGTAGGTTTTAAATTGTTTCACAATAAAAAATATATATAGAAGTTCATCCAAACAGCGCTGTATTGATGGTGGTACAACGTAAGTGGATGTTACACACCTGACAACAGTGCCAAGTGCTGCTGTCTACAGCAAGGGCTGCGGGTAACACCAGAAGCTAAGAGAAAGGGATGGAACAGGGAGGTCGCCAACACCTTGACTTCCAGGCTCCACAACTGCAAGAAAGTATATTTCTGCTGTGTTAAGCCACCGGGTTCCGGGGTACTTTGTTACAGCAGCCCTACTAAACGAATACAAATGACCCAGTAATAAAAAGAGAGGAACTACAGATAGAGCGGATGAATCTCACACACACTACGTCAGTGAAATAAGTGAAGGAAGCGAAGCCCCAAACTAACCTATGACACAAGAACATCAGAATCATAGTTCCCTCCGGCCAGAGTCAGCAAGTCGTGGGAGTGATGAGATTGGGGAAAAGCAGGAAGACATTTTCATAGGTGACTGAAATGTTACCTTTCTTGATTTAACGTGAGGCTACAAAGTTAGCATCCATCAAACCTCACTGAATTGTACACTTAAAGTTCTGTGTGTATAGTTCGAGGGGAAGAAAATCCGCAAATAAATACTGAAGTCTAGTTAATAAGTATGCTTTTGGTAGAAGTTTAGCAAACCGGAAAAGATTTCCTGTGTCCTCCAGGCTTGACCAAATGATAGTAGAAGCCATGTGTCCCATTATTAGAGGAGTTATAAATATAGGGGGGAAACAAAGAAGAAGGAGTCAACAATAAAGCTTATGGTGGTGAATGAGAACGGAAGGTTCTCAGTATGAACTCCTGTGTTTTAATGCAGATAGCCAGCTAGCAAGTAGGAAAAAAGGGATGAAGAATAACAGCTATTTTCCTTCATGGGTCTTTCTATGTTTCTGGATCCAAAAAGGCAAAATGCAAGAGTGTAGGTAAAAGGAGTAAGGATATACCACACGGTTGGAGATGGTTTCCTTGAACGGGTTCTCATTCAATGTGTAGTGGGACTTTTTACTTCTAATGGCCTATGAAATACAGTGGTGCACACAAACTATTATTTTTCAGACCTAATAAGGATAGACTCATAGGAAAAGGAATGAAGAACGAAAAGGGTTTTTTTTTAAATGTTTATTTTTTAAATGTTTATTTTTGAGAGACAGTAAGAGAGAGAGTAAGCAAGCATATATGCATGCAAGTGGGGGAGCGGCAGAGAGAGAGAGGAAGACAAAGATTTCCAAGGAGTCTCCCTACTGTTAGTGCAGAGGCCAACTCAGGGCTCGAACTCACAAACTGCGAGATCATGACCTGAACCAAAATCAAGTGTCAGAGGCTTAACCAACTAAGCCACCTAGGTGCCCCAGATGAAAACTTTTTTAAAGTTTAGGTAGTTGTCTTCAGGTTAATCACTGGCTAACGACAACATTCTTAGGTGGATACTTACTCAACTACCTTCAGTCCTTCATGGATATCTTACGTATTTACTTGGAATAGAGAGCAACTGGAGATAACCTATCCTTTTAATCCAAAGGAAGTAATTCAGCTCTTGTTAAAAATTAAAGACAATTACATTTTTCTTCCCTAGTTCTCAATCTTCCGTTTAGTTTCACTAAAAATTAGTATATCTGACATAGCTCTTGTTTGGAGAAATACAAGGTAATCCACTCCCTAAATACATTAACACTAGCAGATGTCATAAAACCAAATATTTTTTCTCCTCTAAAATTGTACTGGCATCTTTTTTCTTTCTCTCTCTCTCTTCCTTTAAAGTAATAATAGTCAAGTATTCAAATGTAAATGCCATCAAAATTAGAATCCTCAGTCTGCTAGATGACAGTGAATCCAACTGATGATAGACACAGCAAGCCTAACCAGTAATATGCAAGGAATCAATTTGGATTTTGACAGATCTTCTTTTTTGGTCACGTCACTGTTTACAGAAGCCACCATGAGCCAGTCCAACAGATATAAATCAGTGGGAGCTGGCAGTTGATGTGCCAGAGTCGCCTGATTTCATTTGTTAAACTACTACTAGAAGGATTTCCACCTGCAAACACAAGACATACACAGGAAGACAGTAACACACAGGCAAACACACCCAGCACCTTACCATCCGCAGGCTTGGCGTCGGCTGCTGTCTGCTCTTCCTGCACTCTCATGCTGCTCTCTCTGATGCTTTCTATCTCCCGCAAGAAGTCCGCCATGGAGGTGCTGTCTACGGAGGCTTGTGAGTTGGAACGGCTAAATGCAGGAGAATGTAGGGACTCATTGGAGAGCATTCTGTTAATTCTTCGGCAGCGAGGAATAGATTTTCTGAGGAAAGAATAATATCTGTTGTTAATTAAAAATTAGTGTCTTTTATGTTATAAATCATGAAATGAAATTTAGGTTTAAAATGAGTGGAGAAGTAGAGTTAAGTGTGATAGAGAGGGATTGGAGAGAATAATCTTCACTCCATGGTGGCCGTTCTTTTTCATTCTCTATAATTTATAATGATTTGGTGGCCATGTAAGAATCACCATGAAACTACTTTTTGTAATTTTCACACACTTATAAATCATGAAGTTAGTTGTATTAGCCAAAGCATAGAGTTTAAGGCGATATCTCTGATGAACACAGATGCAAAATCCTCAACAGACTACTAGCAAACTGAATTCAATAATCTGTTAAAAAAAAAAAAATCATTCACCACCAAGTGCCATGCAAGGATGGCTCAATATTTGCAAATCAATCAAGAGGATATATCACCCACTAGAATGGCCACTATCAAAAAAAGAGAAAGCAAGAATGTGGAGAAAATGGAACCCTTGTTCACTGTTGGTAAGAATGTAAACAGTACAGATTCTGTGGACAAAAGTATGGCAGTTCCTCTAAACATTAAATATAGAATTACCATTTGATGCAGTAATTCCACTCTTAGGTATATATACCCAAAAGAATTGAAACAGGGTCTTAAGGAGACATCTGTACACTGTGTTAACAGCAGTGTTACTCCCAGCCATAAGGTGGAAGCAACTTCGACAAATGAATGGATAAATCAATGTGGTCTATACGTACAATAAAATATTATTCAGCCTTAGAAAAGAAAGAAATTCTGATATATGCTACCACATGAATAAACCTTGAGGACATTATGCTAAGTGAAATAAGCCAGTCACAGGACAAATAATTCAGTTTCCATTATACTTCCAAGTACAGTTCCATTTATAAAAGGTATGTCAAGAAGTCAAAATCATAGAGACAAATAGAGTGGTACTTGCCAGGGTTTGTGGGGATGAGGAAATGGAGGTTTTTGTTAAATGAGTACAGAGTTTCAGTTTTACAAGAGAAAAGGAGTTCTGGAGAGGGATAGTAGAGGTGGTTGTACAACAATGTGAATATACTTGATACCAATGAGCTGTATGCTAAAACATTGGTTACGATGGGGGGCACCTGGGTGACTTGGTTGAGCATCCGACCCTTGATTTCAGCTCATGCCATGATCCCACGGTCATGGTATCAACCTTCATCTTAAGAGAGACCTTAAGATTTTCTCTCTGTCTCTGGAGCACCTGGGTAGCTCAGTTAGATAGGTGTCCAACTTTGGCTCAGGTCATGATCTCATGGTTTGTGGGTTCGAGCCCCGCTTCAGATCTTCTATCTCCCTCTCTCTCTGCCCCTCCCTCACTTGCTCACACTCACTTTCTCTCTCAAAAAATAAACACTAAAAAATTCTTTTTAAAACCATATCCTCTCTCTTCCTCTGCCCCTCTCCCCACTCACACTAAAAAAAAAAAAAGTTACGGTAGTACCATTGATCAGAATTATTAAAAATTGAAAAAAATGTTGTAAAAAGTTGGCCACTCAAATAATGAGATACTGTGAGGAAATAATCTGTAACATTAAATGGAAAAATCCTACATGAGGATGAGGAAGGGGGCACCAACCAGGGACACAAAGACCATACAGTCACCCCGGGGAGAACTGGAGCACCACTCGGGGTAGGGTCCAAACACTGCAGGGGGCAGTGCAGAGCATGGAACAGTGTCATGGGGTGCTTTCTTGCAGGGGTGCTGCAAGGACTAAATAAATTAGCAGGGGGTGTACATTGAGAACATACAAATATCCAACAAGCGCTGGTTTAAAAAACAAGAGACACAATGGGGGAAATAGATGGGAAAATGCCAGAATTCTGAGAAATTTTGGAGATTTACATAAAAGTAAAATTAAAGATTTTGGTGTGAGGTGGTGATGTGTTAAGTGAGCTTACTGTTGTAATCGTTTTTGCAATATGTCCACATATCAAATCAACATGCCATGCATCTTAAATTGAACCCAATGTTATATGTCAGTTATATCCCGATAAAACTGGAAAAAATTCAAAAAATATTTCACTTCCATGATATGTGACTGACAAATCTTATACTTGCTAGGAACAGTGTTTGATTAATAAGAACACTTGAGTTCCTAACCGCGAAAAAGAGCCACTTTATGCAGTATGATCATCTATTCTTATTCTGACATGATTTTCTCTTTTCAATTTTCCAACGTGGAATGGCTGTGCACCTTTCTTCAAAGAACTCCAAGTCTGCCTTGTTCTCCTTGGGTTCAAGTGGAGTTGAACAGAAACGCTAAGACTACCTCTTAACCAAAGTGCAGGCTGAGCTGTTTCACCCAAAACAAGACCTCGAAGACGGAAAGAGGCAAGTGTGGAATTATGACTCACTCAGGGCAGTTTCAGTTTTCTCTGCGGAGCAGCGTGGACTGCTAGTGAATGTAACCAGTCCCGCAGCACAGGCAAAGCACACTGATCTGCGTGAGCACACAAGGACACAGGGGAGTAAGCAAACAATCCATGAGCTCACACTGTCTATACCTCTAGGAATCCTAAATTCCAAAATCACTTTTAGCAGATATTTCTGACATTTTACCACTGGTCCTGACACTACCACGCCGTTAAGTAGTACTAGTTTTGGACATCAACTGGCAGTGAGTTAGCCAATTTGTTTTTAAAACCCAAAGCATTTCATGAAAATATGAACTATCCACTTGTATTTTCTTACACTGTGAATTTTAGGCAGCTTTAACAATTGGTTGGTAAGAGTTTTCCACTAAATTCTTTATAGTTTGACAAGACACACATACTTTTTTTTTTTTAAATGTTTATTTATTTTGAGAGAGAAAGCGCATGAGGGAGGGAGGAGCACAGAGAGAGAAGGAGAGAGAGAACCCCAGGCAGGCTGCACACAGTAAGTGCAGAGCCTGAAGTGCGAACGGTGAGATCATGACCTGAGCCAGAATCATGAGTCAGCCAGTTTCACCGACTGAGCCACCTGAGGCACCCAAAGAGATACATTCTAATGGGCGAAATAGAAATCAACACATGTTGAAACATCAACAATCATGACGATTATTGCTTCCTTTATTATTTTTTATGCTTTTAAGACTTCCCTTTTGCAACAAGACCAATACTGAGAGCCACTAACAAATCTGTAGAATGCCAGCATAGAAGCATCAACTTACAAACTATCCAATTACCATTGCTACACAGCCTACTACCCTTCATATGCCATTTTCAGAAAAAAATTTATAGATGTCCAAAACCTTCTCTGCTTACGGATGTTTTTTAGGTTTATTTCTTTTAAAAATGAATGTGCTTGACTTGTGAAAAATTTATAGTATTAACAGCAGGCATGGACCAAGTTTTTAAAAACTATAATGCAGCATTGAAAACATAAAAGTTTAAATAATACATAATTTATAAAGTAGAAATTGAAGGTCTTCTCCTCCATCTGTATCACATCAATATTTTTCTATAAGCTGCTTTGTTTCCCCCACTCAAAAATTATGTCATAGATATCTTTTCCATGGCAGCAAAGAAGTATTACCTCAATAACTGCATGGATTAGCATAAGTTATCTTACAAATTAAACAAACACACAGATATAACCAGGCACTAAAGGTGTCTGAAGTGAGAAACTTGAGAAAGAATAAGTAAATCTTAGAAGATGAGGAGCAGGTACAGTTGGGGCTAATAACAATAACTTTAATTACAACACAGTTTCTTACTCATGCAAAGCTTACACACACTGGTGGAATCTCAGAGAAGAGATCACCATACCATTCTGCTGGGCCAGGGGAATCAAATGTGAAATACAGGTCATGAATGTCTGAGTAACACACTGGTTCATTCTCAGATAATCCACCCAAAGAATCCTATAATTGCATGATCAACATTTTTTTATCTTTTTTTTTTTTTTTGGCAAAGAAGTTAGACAGGATTTTTGGGACAAGCACATTTGGAAGAGTTCTAGCTTTTTTAGTTAGGGATCCTAATATTTCCCTCTTCATTCCAGAGTAGAGTAGGGACCACGACCTACCAGTCATAAAGCATTACATAATTGTGATCCTCCTCAGGCTCATCCAACACTTTGATGAGCCTTTAACCTTGAGCTTCATACCTCACCATATTAGGACAAACAGAGCTTAATCTTCAGAAACTGTTTGTATTTTTTTAAATTCCAAAACAGTATCAGGAAAATATTACTTGAAAACCAGAACGTAATTGTATTACACAGCAACTTTTGTTGGGAAAACACCATTAGGTTTCAAATTAGAGTCTGGGTGCATGGTAATTTCCATGAATTCAAAGCGGCATTAAAAAATAATTTTACTTTTCCATTTTTCCCTCCATTATTTTTCTAGATATAACTTGTATTCTATGGCAATGATTCTTAAAGATCTGTTCACTTTTTATTGTCTACCCTGAATGAGTATTTTATAACTTCAGAACAATGTAAATACCTTACAAGAGGATAATTCTCCCTCCACATGTCAATTGACTTTTTAAAAAGTCAATAATCTTTTTACAGATTAAGTAAGTAGTCTTTTATATATATCCTTCCTGATGCTCTTCCTTTCTTCCCACAGGTCCTTGTGCCCATAACAGATCACTTGTAATCAGCTTTGAGAACTTCATCTGCCACTTCCTCTGTTTTACTGTAGCATTTGCCGTACTGTGGACCTGCTGGTAACAAACAACCTCAGATTTCTTTATGAATGCACCTTTAATTCATTTTTAGTCTGGTGAATTTGTTTACTGGGCACAGAATTTTAGGCTGGCAGTTTTTATTGCTGTTTTTCAAACCTTTTAAAGATGTCATTCCATTGTCTTCTGGACTCCCGAATCTGATGAGAAATCCATTGTAATTTTTATTCAGATTCCTCTAAATATAATTTTGTTTTTCTCTAGCTGCTTCTCACAGATTTTCTCTTTCTCTTTTGTTTTTAGCAACTTAATTATGAAATGCTGACATTGTGGTTTTCTTTGTTTT